ATGGATCCATTTAGACAAACTACTGCTGCCTCATTCAGTCTACGAGAATGACTTTTTGACCTTAATAATTATATTCTCGGATGTGTTGGACGTTTGGCATGCCACGAGATTAAATTCCCAGAAAGAGACTGACTAGAAAGGTTATTCAGTAGAAATAATTCAGCAGGCTTCCTATTATTGTTTGGCAAATCGTTTCATTGAAATCGTGCACAGAGGTCTTGTTTCTTCAAGGAATATCCTCGAAATATCCAGAATACTGAAGGTAAGTGAAAGTGTTGTAACTTTCTGTTTACAAGATATTCGAAGCGGAACTACAGACTGTAGTTTTTCGCTCGCTCAATTCAGTGGCTGACCTATTGGAATATATGCTTTCTCTCTTCCAAGGGTTCAGTCTGATCAGAAAACATGAAAAGTTCGTATTAGTAGATCTTAATGCTGAGCAATATTATTCAAAATTAATCGCAGAGTCATTCGATTTTGCTCCGCTCGATAACAACAGAACAATAGAACTCGTTCGCTTTATTTCCAATCGAACATTACAGCTAACAGTTTTTAGTATAAATCTACTTGCGTCCTATCACGAATGCCGTTCTCTTATTGGCTACGTTAACTATCTACAGTATTCTGTTCTAGATAGTGGGAAGCCTAGCAGTGTGCGGTTGTTAACAAAATGGCGGCGGTCTCTTTGCGTTTTCGAAGTGTCTGCGAAAAGAATTTAGATATGTTGCAAAAGAATAGTAGATTTATACTAAAACAATGAGATTATTCNTATAAAGTTATGACAGTTGCTGGTATTTCGAAACGCCATTAATTAAGGGTACTGTATTGTAATTATGTTGTATGGTAAAAGACATAGCTTTGTCTATGTCGCGGGGAAAAGTGCATCAAGAGCAAGAAAAAGCTTGCCAGGACTGAAAAATTATTTTGGAAATTTGTATGCAACTAAGAACTTTTGTGTTCCTACATGTATTTAGTCTGGGGTCCCGCACTGATTTGAATCTTTTCTTATAAAAACAGCATTCAAGCTATTGTGGTCACACTTTGTGATTTTTCCTTAAAAAACCATCCATCCATGATTTCAAGGAGCGTTTTACCCGAGTTTGATTTTCTGTAAGCTTAAGAAGGAATCCACCACAAGTTCAAGTAACAAGGGGACAAAAAAATTGAACCGAATTAATTTACATTGTATTGCAAACTTCTTTGTCATCTTCTTAAATGAAATCATTTCTATTAAACAACACCAAAATTTTAAAGTTCAAATGAATATACTGTCAAAAGTACTGTTGAAATGAAACTGATGATGAAATTTTACCTGTGTTTGCACAATTTCTCTGAAGTTTGAAATTTATTTTCTCAATTTCACTTGGGAAATTGTATTTCGTGTTGTCTTAGACAACTTTTTTAGTAAATGTAAAAAGGACTGTAAAATACTTAAAGTTACTATGGTACCGGGTTTTGTCCATTACAAATTGAAATCGCTCGATTTCCTATCGGATTTCGTCTTAATTTTTCAATTTTCCAATCGCCACCAAGGCCACCTTTCAATAATAACTGTTCTCTGTTGTTCTTTTAACAGGGACAGTATTGTCGTCCTGGCAATATAACCACTTTTCACTGGGATTAGTTTATTGCTATCAGTAATGGCTCTACAGCCGTTTACGAACGAACAGTT